ATATTGATCATGATTATTTTAATTGGATTAGCCCGGCGATCAATCAAAGTTTTACTGCAAAAGAGAAACTACAAAATATCCAAATGAACTTTCACTGTTGTGGCAACAATGGTATAATCGATTTCAATCATACTGATCTAATGAATTCTACCATGGTCACAATACCAGCGTCATGTTGCGGGCAATGGACAAGCGACGACTCATGGAAAAAAGAATGCAATATAACCGATATTTTATACGAGCAAGGCTGTATAGGGAAACTAAAATCAGTCCTAATAAACTACCTTGTGTTTATTAGTATGATTTCAATATTTTTAATATTGGCCGAGATTACACTTGTCATTTATAATGTATGGAATCCAGATTGCTATGAAGAATGCACCAGGATATGTTGCAAACTTTGCACTACGGACACAAATGACCATGATTCATTTAATAATTATGTTCCGTATACCAGCTTGGACAGCAATGATGATGAGCTATCTATTGAACAACAAAATCAACAAGATGTAATTTTAGCTGAAAATTATGTGACAGATGATGAGGGCAATAATGATATTAGCAGGGCAAAAGAACTAGAGGCTATGATTGGTGAAGGGGCATTTGGTACAGTATTTAGGGGAAAAGAACTTAGGACAACAGGGACAATGTTTGCCGTAAAGCAGATTAATACAAAAGGTAATTAAGAATTATAACATAATGTCACCACCTTAATTATTTCAAATTAAAATTAATAAACATATAGCATGGTAAAATATTTATATTTCATTCGGTAGGTTTGAATCACAAGAAAAGGAAAAATCTAGAACGAGAAATAAAGACCCTGCGCATTGTCAGCTCACAATATGTTGTACAGTATTTTCACTTTTGGCAAGAATTTGACTGTTTATATATTCAAATGGAGTTGTGTTCCGATAGTCTGCGCGACATTTTGCAATTCAAACGCCACTTATTTAACCGCCAAATGGGACTCCCTTTGCGTGAATACGAGTACATTATTTCGTGCGAAATGTTTCGCCAGATCTTAGAATGTGTTCAGTATTTGCATGAATTGAATCCACAGATCATTCACAGAGACCTCAAACCCGACAATATTCTTATCGCTAGGANAGTATTTGCATGAATTGAATCCACAGATCATTCACAGAGACCTCAAACCCGACAATATTCTTATCGCTAGGAACGTAAGGAATGGTCGATTTATAAAGCTTGGTGATTTCGGTTTGGCCACCATACATGATAGTAATATTCATGATACTTCATATATGCATACTGCCAAAGTGGGAGACTTGAGATTTATGGCGCCCGAAATTATGCAGGGTACAAAATATAATCACAAATCGGATATTTATAGCTTGGCACTTATTGGTAGCGAAATATTTGACCTTGATTTATCTGGCCAATTTAATAGGTAATTGTTAACTTATGGTTATTTAATTATTTTGATAATTTATTATGCTCGTATGATTAGCCTGCAACACTACATCGGTGACTTATCTTTGAATGAGCTTGTGCATCGCCTACATTCGGTATTAATTTCAATGATGTCGAGTCCTATGAGTGATTCGCGACCAGAATGTAGTGAAGTATTGGCGAAGTATAGCGAGTGGTGTATCGATAAGATAATCATTAAAAATCGCCATGATTATGATGATAGCTCAAATATGATTATGAATTATAATTCGTTTTTCGATAAATTTTTCACTTATATAATGACACGTGATTAAATATTCTTAAATAATTTGTTTTTTGGGTTATGTTTAATTGAAACCATCAGCTTTATTGTAAAACCAGAGCTCGATTATCACTTATAGTTTTATGATCTCGATGATCTCTAATTAATTATTTATCTTACATAATTTATAGTTTTAAATATGTGGCTACAATTACGATACTTATTAATATAAATTATTTTATTTTTTGATATAATTATAATGCTAAAACTATTTTTATTCGCTTTTCCGTATGATAATAAAAAGCGTATACTAGATTCACTTGGTACCCCCTCCCCCGTCCCCCAACATAGATATTGAAAAGAGGTAATGCCAGTATCCAATCCCAAAGCAGTCCTCCCCAATATGATAAACAGAACGTACTTAGCACATTTGATCTGGGACCATTAATGAAATGTTAATTATTTATTAAATTTATTTAATAAATTAATTAATCTTGAGAAATTTAATCCAAAGAAATTGAATAATAAGAATAACTTTTATTATATTAATTGACATTAACTAGAAAAGCATATGTGTATCGATTGACTTAAAGTAACAGGAAACTTTAGTTATCCGCCTTGTTTATTTTAAAATCATTATTATTAATATTTTTATAATGAACCAAATGTTAACAATAAAAATCATATCTCACAAAAATTAAACTATTTAAATGAATTAATATTATATATCACTAAATATTTTGGCTACTCGTTCATATTAAACAATAATGTAAATAGCTTATAGAATAATTGGTTCTCATAATTTTCAAGCCTGTATAGAGTTAATAGAAACTCTTGATCCTTGGTAAAATTAGCCGTATTAATAGACCATTTATCAAATTGTGACAATATTTCGCTACATTCCGGCCTCATATGTATCGCGGGGTCCGACATCATTGCCTTTAGTATAGGAAATAAAATTGTTGCTGGCTCAGCCGTGATATTATTTTTCCATGAATATTTTTTCAGTATGCTAAAAATTAAAAATAATACCAAATTATGAATCAAAACGTTTGTATTTTAAAACTCACATAGATATTTCAACACTGAATAGATCGATATCGAATATCTCGCTACCAATTATACCCAGACTATAAATATCGGATTTATGGCCGTAGTCATCTTTTCGCGATACTTCAGGGGCCATATATCCAGGAGTGCCCACACGTGAGCTATGTCGATTTTGGCTTACGTAGTTAACCAGCTTATCATGAACAGTGGCCAATCCAAAGTCACCTAGCTTAATAAATCGTCCATTTCTGGCATTTCCGGCGATGAGAATATTCTCAGGCTTGAGATCCCGGTGAATGATCTGAGGATTCAATTCGTGTAGATATTGAACGCATTCCAAGATCTGACGAAATATTTCGCACGAAATTAAATACTCGAATCGATTCATCGGTTTATCGCATTTTCGGGCAAAAAACTGGCGTTTAATTTGAAGAATATTGTAGAGACTCTCGGAACACAACTCCATCTGAATGTATAGATAGTCGGACTCTTTCCAGGCGTCAAACACCCGGACCACGTATTCCGACTGAACTTTAATCAGATTTTGAACTTCTATAAATATATTCCTCCGTTCTCTATTATTTTCATCTAGCACAGAATCATAAAATATAATATAGAGCATTCTCATACATTATTCTACAATTACTAAACCTGTAAATTTAACTTTCTTAATCGCATAGAAACCTGATGAAGTAATATGTTGAATTTTAAACACCTCGCCAAAACCACCTTTCCCAATTAGGCCATTCTCCGTAAAATTTGTCATGTATTTGCCTTGCTCATCATTCATAATTTCGGGGTTAAGACCCGCCATATCGTGCGATATTTCCTCGTCATCATCATTCATGAGACGATTTCGACTTGTAAAACAGATCCAGTTGCTAATTGTCCGAACTTGTGGCCATGATATAAATCCGCATCTTAACCAACCAAATCCGCCCATTATTATAAAACTTTCGATTGTTAACAAAATAGCAGCGCTAACAACTTGTGCCAAAAGATACTTTTCAATGCTCCTTTCGATTTCCATATAGCAACCCTCAGTATAGACTAAGTCACCTGGGTTATTGCACATTTTCTCAGCTGAATCCTCAGTGGTCCATTGATCACAACATGAAGCAGGGTAGTTTGTAAAATTCTCCAATATAAAATCGCATGAACAATAGTAGCCACAACATTTGAATTCGGATTGAATTTTTTGAGCCTGGTAGTCTTTAGACGTGCCATTTAGTAAGAAAAATTTTCTATCTGTTGAGTCATAATATTTGATGAAGAACTATTTGAAAATAAATTTAAATTTTAAATATTGAAATTAAAATTGTAAAATTGTGTTCCAAAGTAACCTTGTTTATATTATTAAATGACCTAATTTAAGTCAATAAATATATTTAGTCTATTATACATCAATTAAATATTACCAAAACAAAACATTGTATTAAGCACATATGATCGTCTCCGTGCATAAAACCGTTAAGTATTGGTAACCAAACCATAGTATTGATCATTGAGTTCCAAAAGTTAAAATCACCTAAAAATAGGGATGATAAACTAATAGCCTAATCACCTATAATTGATAATCCTATAAATTTTTAAGAGCCTTAGTTATTTATGTCATAATAAACTTAATAGACATTGAAAATTACTAATACATTAATGTTCAAACAATGTTTAGATTCAATGTTTATTAATCGTAAAAGTACACCTTTAAAACACCTTTAAGTTACATTCATTTGTATAAAATAAGTTAAACTTAATTATATGCTCATTTTATGATTAAAAACTTTTAATATTTTTCACCTGTTATATTACATTGGTGCAAAAGTTCTCGCCTGTTATAGCATTGTGTTCTATGACAATTTAGGCAAGAACTTTTGCACCAATGTAATATTTTTAATGTTTATGACTAAAACTTATAAAAGTTTAAATAACTAGTGTTGAATAGTTGTATAAATAATTTGTTTAACGCTAAAAATGAATTAAGTATATACATTACCAGTTGACATAATTTGAAATGAGTGAAACTCAATGGTATTGATAGTATACATGAATATGTGATATACTATTAATATTATGATTGTTATGTTTACAGTTTGCATTTAAAAATACATACCGGTTTTATGCACGGAGACGATCGCATATGGGTTAAAGACTAATTTGGAACTTTTATATATCGATATTTATATATTAGGAAAAATGATACAGTACACTGAAATAATTTTGTAGTGCGAAATAGCCGAAAGCCCACATGACAAATATAAGCAAGCTATATATTTTGGCGTACTGTAAAAGAACAAATACTAAACTTGCACAATTGTGAACTAAAATAAAAATCAATTCTTACATACCCGTGTTAATTTACCTTGCACATTTTTAAACCTTGCCCCCTCACCGCAAAAACAAACACAACTTTCCATTACAATTATAAGACACGTGAAAATGGGTAACATGATAAAATAAAGGCTATATTTTGTATTTTCATAAAACTCCTTAATATCATAAATCAATATTTCCACCTTGATGCCAACAGCGATTATAGTGATTTCTAGCGCCTTATATAAATACAAATGTAAGTTTTATATTATAGAACAATGGCAATTAGATTTGACTATTTAATTGTGTAATTATCATGTTAGTTAATCCAGATACTATTAAGCAAAGTTCAGAAGTATTGATCAAAAATTATTTTTAAATTCAAAATTCATTTTGGTCTATAATGCTTGTTTGATAAAATATTATTTTTCTGTTATTACAATAATTAAGATTTAATTACTAATTGGTTAGTTACTTATTGAAAGCATCCAGATACAATTGAGTATATTTTAGATAAAAATAAATTCTTTACAAAAATTGTTCATAAAAATAGATATTTAATTTTGTAAATGATTTTGAAAAATTTATGATCAATAATGAATTAGCATTAAATATAATCCAATGTATCACCTAGGCAAAAAACAATAATGGAATCTTATTGACACTTCCCTGTTACATAATATGATTTAACTTAAGAATTAATTATAAAAATTTAAAAATAAAAATTTCATACTAGGCGAATAATGTTGATTAAGTAGGGAGCTGCTTTACAATGTTTGAATACAATCGACATGCATACCCCGGTAAAACATGCTTCACATCTAGGTATCGGATAACAGATACAACATATACACATACCTAAAGTGGATAGGGTCAACTTAATATTAAAGTATATTATCTGTTTTAATAAATACAAATATATTTCACAAATAAAAACCTTCTAAATGCATACAGCATTTAATATTAATGAATACAACAGTATAATAATTACAACCAAATATGAAATTCTTATATTATTTATAAGATAATCGCTGTACGTTTGGATATTTTACTATTATATTGCAACATATTTTTACCTCATATTTACAAAGTAAAAACTGTAGGTTATAAAATGACACGGAACCACCCACACAACTTAACCCCATCCCCCTCTCTCTCCCCCTCTTTATTTCAGTTTGAAATATGCTTGATAAGATAAATATTTTACTGTAAGTAATAAAACAATTTAGTGGCGCCTCGCGATTTTATAACCCATTTTCTAACCGTAAATGTCGGTAAAATGTGTTTCTAAAGTACTTAATTAAATATATTAAGACCATAAATGTAAAAGGATCTTGACATAAATCCATAAAAACAATTAATCAATTCTATAGTGGATAGGGTCAATTCAATATTAAGATATAATTTTTTTAATAAATATAAATATATTTCACAAATAAAAACCTATATGCACATAGCATTTAATATTGACAATTAAATAATAAAACTTTTCTGAACAAAGTTCACTAATAAATTTCTTAACATTAAAACTATTTATCAACATCATTTATTTATTACTGACATGGGATGCTTTATAGTTATATTATTTATGAGATTATACCTTGTACGCTTGAATACTTTATTATTATTATATTGTGAAACATTATTACCCACAGTTACAAAATAAAACTGTAGGTTATAATATTTGTATCTAAGGTAATTAATTAAATATAATGATATTATGAGCATAAATGTCAAATAATCTTGCCGTATTCTTAGAAATTCTAACAAAGATACGATTTTTAATAGTTAGAAATTTTGTCATTTAAAATGCTAAGATTATATTTTTAGCAATTAATATTTCTATACTATTATAATAGAGTATAAGTAGAATATGATAGAATATTAAAATTTATATATCAGTTTAATATGGATGCCAAAAATGAAATTGGTAAGGGTAGCTTTGCAACCGTTCACAAAGTTAAAGATAAAATTGGACAGGTCTATGCGATTAAGAAGATTGATCTAAAAGGTAATAATAACTATAATTTTCACAACTACCTTGTTTTTTAAATATTTACACATTAAATTAGAACTGAAAGAAAAGGAACAATCACGTTTAAAAAAGGAAGTTTCCAACCTTAAAACAGTATGTTCGGAATTTGTTGTCACTTATTACGAGTCGTGGAAGGATTCAGAATATTTCTACATTAAAATGGAACTATGCTCGGAAAGCCTTCGAAATATAATAGACAGGAAAGCCCAAGTATTTGGCAGACACGTCGGTGAACCTATCAACAAATACGAGTACATCATGTCGTGCGAGATATTCCATCAAATCGTCGAAAGTGTGCAATACTTACACGACTTGAAGCCGCAGATCATTCACAGAGACCTCAGACCCGAAAATATTCTAATTGCTAGAAATGTCGTGAATAAGCGGTTCGTCAAGTTATGCGACTTCGGTTTGGCTACAGTTCACGACAAAACTATAAACTATAGGTCCTCTCAGCGACACACCGGCGAAGTGGGAGATTTTGATTATATGGCGCCCGAAGTTAGCAGTGGTGCGAAATATGGCCATAAATGCGATATTTATAGCTTGGCCTTGGTGGCGAGGGAATTAATTGACATTGATATTTCTCAGGGGTATTATTTTCAAATTTAATTTTAGATAATTAAATTAATTATTATAATTTGGTTTATAGTGAGAGCTATGTTTGCCATAATGATAAATTAAAAGGACCTATATCAAAATTAAGGACCTTGATGCAGTTGATGCTTTCATCTCCTGAGTGGTCGACTCGTCCAGAGTGTACCGAAATTTTAGCCAAATATAATGAGTGGTCTATAGATAAAGAAAACCTAATAAATGATATAAATTTCAGAGAGATTTTGTTTAAAGTTCACCAAGATCCTAAATCTGTGTTTTATAAAATTATGGCAACTTTAGTTTAGTTTAAGTGGAATTGGAACTTGTTGTTAAGCTAAGTAATATAAGATTAAAATATAATACAAAAAAGCTAGCTCATATGTTATATGTAATTTTATTCCTTATATTTTGTACTAATAAAGCCAAATAATATTACTTAAAAAAATTTGATACAGTATAATTTTCTACTATCATGTAAATCTATATTTCAGTGAAAATTATTCAGGTCTTGAATTAGTTTAAAAATAAAACACAGACCAAAAATTATTACATAAAGTAAATTGGCGCTGAAATGAATCATCATTAATTAAAATTAACTAGGGTCTAAAAGAAAAATAATTTAAATTTGTATTTAAAAGGTTAATAAAATTCATTGGTACTCTACCCTTGCTACTCATAATAATTCATAATAAATGTAGTATGTTAAATTAACTTTATAATTTATTAAACTATTTTATAATGATTATTAGATTTAATATAGTTTTATGATTTGATCAAACAGGTTTATTATTGTTTTAATATTTAATTTATATTTAAAACATAATGAATATAATACGTAATGTGTATATGTTGCACATTTTGAATGTAATAATTTTATACGTAAAAGCCATGACATTGTATGATAGTTAAATAACAATTGTATCACTATGGTAATGTTAGGTTACAAGTATTTGTGTGCAATATTTAAAATAGTTCAATCGTGTGTAGTATTTTTAATTTTTTGAAATATAAAACCATTTAATTAAAACAATATAAGTATTTAAAAATTTACACTCATTTAATTAAATTTTATTTACGGTGAATTTAGAAAATTAATTTTTACCATAAACAAATAAATCATATAATATAAGGAAACATAATTAATTGTTAAATATTTTAGAGTATTATGATACCGGTATAATGATAGATAAAATTAATTCATAATTCTTGTTGTCTTATGTAGTTTTGTGAAATATTTTCAGTTTACGCATTTATTACATACATTTCCTGATGCCTGTGGATTCACAAATAAATATTATATATTTAAATTCTCTTTTAAAATTTTTATGACTAACGGTATCGGACATAAAAATTTCTCTTTTTAAACTTAAAAAACTATAACTTAAACACAAAAATTTCTAAAACAAATTACATGACTGTAAAGCACATGTCAATAAGAGTATTTGCTGTGAAAAATAATTGTCTATTAAAAGTGGTGATAAAGTTATGGCTTCCGAACAAGAGAAGCGTCGCGAGCGAGTCGTGACATTTTATTTAAGACATGAAAATAAACCTATGATTTATACGGTAAACCATTTTGTGGACGAAGGGATGGCCAGATGTTCGGTGTATAATATCATTAATACATATAAGACACGTTTGACAACCAAAAGAGCTCCTGGAAGTGGCTGTACATTGAAAGTCATGAATAGAGATAAGATCCGAAGATTGTATAAAGATGTCAACCATTCGGACAAATGGAACCATTCCTCAGCGGCACGAAAGTACAAATATTGTCCAAAAACAATTAAAAGATGGTTAATGAAGAGGACAATAAAACAGTACAAGAAGAAGAAGTCACCGCATTATAAGGACAACCAGAAGGAAGTGGTGCGCCGACAGTGCGCTTGGCTTTACCGTCACTTTCGTAACAAGGATTTCGTTATCGACGACGAAAAGTATTTTACTTTAAGTCATAGCACATGTGATACATATTTTTCATCGCCAAGAAAATCATTAACACCTGAATCTGTTTCACACAAATTCAAGTCAAAGTTTGAGCCGAAAGTTATGTTTTGGATCGCAATCTCTAAGAAAGGTTTTTCGCAACCATTTTTCATCCGTACCCACGGACTCGCAGTCAATCAGGATCTCTATCTGAAGAGGTGTATAAAACAGCGGTTATTACCATTCATTCGAAGACATCATTCTGATAATAACTACCTTTTCTGGCCCGACAAGGCCAGTGCCCACTACGCCTCAAATGTTTTACAGTTTTTAAATGTCAATAACATTCATTACGTGTCTAAGCTTAGAAACCCGACAAATGTCCCCCAATGTCGACCAATTGAAGATTTTTTTGGTTATTTGACTGGATTAGTGTATGCGAAGGGTTGGAGGGCTAAAAACACTAAACAACTCGAAAATCGAATTAAATTTTGTCTCAAAAAAGTAGATCCAAATTTGTCAAAAGGTCTGCGGAAAGTGTCCGCAAACGGCTACGTATTGCTGGCCAAAGGGGACCTATGGCTGTCGTTCATTAATTTTTTATGTTCATTATATACTTGACTATATTTCATTAAAATTTCAGTTTAAACTAATTAATCGTTTTTGATTTATTAACAATTATCCGGAATCTAATTTTTATGTCCGATACCGTTACATTACCAGTTAATAACCTACAGTTTTACTTTGTAACGTTTCACAATATAATAATAATAAAGTATTCAAGCGTAAAAGCTATAATCTCATAAATAATATAACTATAAAGCAGAGGTGCACAGATATAACCGTTTGCGGTCAACTAGCGATGTATGTATTTAATAGTTTAAAACAATATTTACAACACTAATATTTTATGAATCAGAAATTAGACAACTACTCTTATACTCATAGCTAGGTATAAATTGTGATTAAATTATTTGTCAATGTTTTCACTATATTTCCAAACAAAGAGATTAATAAATATTCATACTATTAATATAAATGAAAATTATGTTTCAAACGAAATATCAGTCACTTTTAATACATTAAATTCTAGTGTTTGGAATAGTTAATAAGTTTTCTAATATTTTAAAACACAAATTTAAGGATTTAAAAAATTTTGGACGTCTCTGCTATAAACATCCCATATCAGTAATAAATAAATGATGTTGATAAATAGTTTTATTGTTTTATTGTAGAATTTATTACTGAACTTTGTTCAGAAGTTTTATTATTTTAATTGTCAATATTAAATGCTATATGCATTTAGGAGGTTTTTATTTGTGAAATATATTTGTATTTATTAAAAAATAGTATACCTTAATATTAAATTGACTTTATCCACTATAAAATTGATTAATTGTTTTTATGGATTTATGTCAAGATCCTTTTACATTTATGGTCTTAATTATGTCATTAATAAATGTTCATGGTCAAAAAGTGCGATTCCGGGCGATATGTTGTTCATTTTAGGGTCCGTAAGTTGGCTGACATGGTCATTTTTGTATGAATTAACGTTATCATTTGAATAGACGGTATGTACTAAATGTTTAGACGGCACTCAACCGTATAGGGTGCACTCAATGTGCGCTATTTTTTCGGGTAAATGTATGCCAATAATGTAGTCATATAAACTGCTATTCAAAAATGATCATGTCAGCCAACCTATTGGCCACAAATATGACCAACTTATCGCCCGGAATCGCACTTTTTGACCATGAACATTTATTAATGACATAATTAAGTTTATGAACATACAAATTAAACTAGCATGGCCAGCTTCCGTATCGAGAAATTCCTTCTTAATATATTTAATTATATATTTTAGAAACACATTTTACCGACATTTACGCAGCTAGAAAATGGGTTATAAAATCGCGAGGCGCCACTAAATTGTTTTTTTACTTACAGTAAAATATTTATCTTATCTTATCAAGCATATTTCAAACTGAAATAAAGAGGGAGAAAGAGAGGGGGATGGGGTTAAGTTGTGTGGGTGGTTCCGTGTCATTTTATAACCTACAGTTTTTACTTCGTAAATATGAGGTAAAAATATGTTGCAATATATGTAGTAAAATACCGTATATAGTAAAATATTTAAAGTATCATTATATAATAAACTTTAAAATAATAATTTAAAACAATTATTAAGAAATATGTTATTTATTTTTCTAGAAGGTTTATTAGTCGCATAATGTTCTAGGACAATTTTTGAATATCTTTTGAATAACTAATACAATAAAGTGTGTGGGTTCACAATATTATCTATAAATAATTTTAAAATTTTTTAATGAATACTCAGTATCTAACTTATAATAAAAGTAATGTAACTATAGCAATTATGAAATGGTGTTATAAAGTAAGTTATAATGAAATATTTTATTAATTTACATGTAGCAATTAACAATTTTATTACAAGACATAAGCTATAAATTGGTTAAGCATTTGAAACCATTGGATACAAGGATTTTTGATATTTACGTTATATTACGTTATATCAAAAACAGTCTTATACTGTACTAGTAAATATAAGTATAGATTACTATTTGGTATATTATAATTTTGTATTTTCAATATTTTTTGTTAACATTTATATATCCTATCTGTTATTATACATCATCTATTATATCCTATATATAATTTAATTGGAAAATGGATACAAATGAACATGATGAAAATAATGACAATAAAAAATATAACTGTTTACCCATAATTATTAGCATGGTTTGGATGGTGAGCATAATAAAAAATAAGTTTAAATCAATAAAAATAGATTTAAATAATATTGGTAATTTAAACCTTTAGATTGCCGAGGCAATTCCGGTGTATATAATCTTTGGTCAAATCTGGGGTATACTCGGCAACTATGAATCAATAAACAATTATTTATTTTTTTAAAAATGCATTATTATTTTAGATATTATGACCTCGGAACTTTATAAAGGTTCAAAAGTTGGTAT